TATATATATGTCATTTTACGTTGCAATCTAACTTATAAACTAATTTTTCCCAAATACTGTTAACGCATAAGTTATCTTATTAGCTATCAGCTAGCTTTTCAGTTAGTTTGTCAAAAGGGCCTAAGATAAACTCAACATATCTCGAGTTTAGCCTGACTACACTAAAGTCACCAATTGTGTATCATTTTACGGAGGAGGGTTTCTACATTGTTGAAGTTTTTTTTATAACTAATTAGTATTCATTTTTTTTTCTATTGACCACACAATATCATTAGAACTCATAACTTATTTTCGTATATGTAACCCATCCTCCTTCAATCATATTGTACTTTACCCTTTAATTATATTTTGACTTTTTAATATTTATTTTTTTTCTTTACTAATTAAGTATTTCTATTAAATATTTAACAACATTTCATTTATAAAATATAAAATTTATAGCAATTATATAGTATTTCAATCATTTTTCTATTTTTACAACTATACCATAATATTATTATTTTTCGTGTGTATATATATATATATATATATATATATATATATATATATATATATATATATATATATATATAAAGACCCAACGTATTTGCATTTATAGTTTCGTTTGTTTATGAAATTGTAGATATAAGGCTATCCAGAATAGACATTAACCCGTGCGTTGGTTTCCTATGTGGCACACTAAACCACTAGTGAACACCATCCCAAAGGCTGGTGGGTTGGTTGTGGAGTGAGCTAAAGTGGTGCTGAAGACGGATGAAGACACGAAATTTGATTGGGTAACCTTTTTTTTGACCATTTCTTTTTTGAAGGTTAGAATAAAAAATAAAAGAATTCTATATTTTCGTTGGTTACATAAATAAAGAATAATGTTTTAAAGTAGTGATCATTTTCAAGGGCTAGAGGTTTGGTAGTGAAGAAGTAGTGGAGATAACGTGTTGCATAGATGACAACACTTTTCTAGTGGGTTGGTGGTGACCACTCCCCTTAGCTTAAGGTACACTCACCATGGTTTTGGAATTCATCTATATATATTATTGGTATAAATAATAAAAAGAAAAAACTTCAAAAATGGCCCCTGTGGTGACCATTCCCTTAGATGGTCCCTATGGTTTCAAAAATTTTAATAAATAGTCTTTTTGCTAACTCCGTTAGCTTTTGGCCGTTAAGTGAAAAACATTTCTGTCATTTCACTACCACAGGGACCATTTATGAAGTTTTGCCTTATTTAAAAAAAAGAAAAAAATATAATTATTTAATATTAAAGATATTTAAAAGATATTTAATATTAAAGGGTCCCTCCTCTCTCTCTCTCTCTCTCTCTCTCTCTCTCTCTCTCTCTCCTCGAGACATGTGCACAGATCCTCAGCCCACTTCTCTCTTCTTCCCCCTCGCTTTCCCTATATAATCATTAGCACTACCATCGCCCAACAAATGCTCAAATTCTTCCAAGAAGAAGAAAAAAATGGAACGAGATTATCTACAACAAGATTACACCTTCTATAATGGCGGCAGTTCCACTTCCGCCTCCACCGCTGCTGCCTCTGCTTCTGTTTTTTCAGATGTGATTGGTAAATCGAAGCTGTGGGATGAGGTTAAAGAGCAAGATGCCAACATTGATGAGTTGTTGGTGGTGCTTGATTTCAAAGTTAAGTCGTGTGATGTGGCTGATATTGCGCAAAAGATCGAGCATCTGGAGGGTGTTTTGGGGAACGACGATGGGTTGTCTCAGCTTGCTTCTGATTCTGTTCATTATAACCATTCAGACCTTAAATCAATTATTTGTGAGTTGAACCCCACAAATCAACCACCTGTTATCGATGATTTGTTTGTGAACAAAACCGCATCTGTAACTTTGTCGGCTGTGGACTCATCTTTTCTCTTCGTTGACAATCTACAGAGGATCCTCGGAAACACAATTGAAAGGGAATAAGATCAGTATGTTTCTCTGTTTTGTGTTTTAACCCATGACTGATTCCTTACATATGGGTATAAGCGATTGATTCATGAAATCATAAATTCACTTTTATGTGTATATTTTCATTTTCCTTGATTGTACATTTTTGTGTATTGAGTCCACCTACAATTTGGATTTCAATTAGAAGTAAAAACAAAGATTCCATAGTAAACTTCTTAAGTTGCACACTAATGTTTGTGGAAATTCCCCAATGACTTCAATTCGTTCACGCCCCAACCTGGTTGTTTCTTGTTTCACAGCTTCACCATATTGATATTAGACATTACTTTTCAAAATTATCAAAATCTAGCTATTAAGAGAAACTAAAACACATGATAGAGAGAAGGGGATCAATAGTTTCTTGCGCCATGTTGGTGGTGGTGGATGCTTATGAGGTCACTGATAAGGGGATGGAGATCAGAAATGACCCTTTAATAACGAAGATGATGATCAGATGATCAAGGTGGAGAGATGTTTATGTTTGTGTGTACGTGTTTTTGAGAGAGAGAGAGAGAGAGAGAGAGAGAGAGAGACCCTTTAATATTAAATAATTATATTTTTTTCTGTTTTTTTTTAAATAAGGCAAAACTTCATAAATGGTCACTGTGGTAGTGAAATGACAGAAATGTAATTCACTTAACGGCCAAAAGCTAACGGAGTTAGCAAAAATGACCATTTGTTAAAAGTTTTGAAATCATAGGGACCATCTGTAAGGTTTTTAAAAATTAAGGACTAAACTTCAGATTTCCAAAAACCAACGGGACCATTTTTGAAGTTTTGTCTAATAAAAACATAATAGAGGATCAAACAATCATTTTACACGATTAAAAAGTAAAATACCCTAGTGTGCACCACACATTACATATCTTAACGGATAAATTAACTTTATCATCGGAATTGAAAAAGAAGCAAGAAGATAAATACCTAAAAAGTTACAAATTTGAAAGTTTAGATCCCGAATTACAAAAATCCGATAGACTCAAGCATGTAATTTACTATTTTCAAAAAGGCATAAATAAACAAACTAATAGTTTTAAAACTTTTAAAGGGGTAGACGTGATATTTTCCCAGTCATATCATAAACAAACTAATAGTTTTAAAACTATAAAAATAGGTAGATTGTATTTTTCCCTTTTTTTTTTTTTTTTGCCAGCCTTGTTATGTTATAGGGAATGGCCTTTATAAATTCAGCGTTTCCAAACATACACGAAGTTTGAGGCATTCTAATTTCTACACTCCTCAAGAGTGTGAATAGCAACATACCCTCAAGAGTGTGAACATCAATGAGTACCCTTCTTCAAAGTGTGTTATTTTAGTGTCCTGTTAGCGTGACAAGATCTTGATCTCCCAGAATGTCGAATCACGAGACTCCAATGGTAAGACCAAAGAGGAAGAAGGTGTGGGTCGATTATCTGATCCAGTTCCGATGGGTTGGGGTCATATTTCTTGTGCTTCCAATGTCTCTTATATTGGACATGTTCATATATCTTGACCAAGTTATATCACAACGGAAGTCTTACAAGCAGCGCCTAAACGAACACAACCAAAACGTCATAAAAGTCATCAAAAGGTTGAAGGAAAGGAACCCCTCGAAAGACGGTCTTGTCTGTACGGCCCGAAAGCCCTGGGTTACAGTAGGCATGCGAAATGTCGACTACAAGCGAGCTATGCGCTTTGAAGTAGACCTTTCAGACTTTCGTAACATTCTTGCAATCGACCATGATAGAATGATTGCAACATGTGAGCCGTTAGTGAAGATGGGTCAGATTACAAGGGCCACTGTACCAATGAATCTTGCACTTGCAGTTGTCCCAGAGCTCGAAGATCTTACGGTCGGTGGGCTCATCAATGGCAGCGGACTCGAGGGAAGCTCGCATTTGTACGGGCTTTTCTCTGATATCGTTGTTGCTTATGAGATCATTCTTGCAGATGGACGGGTTGTTCGTGCTACAAAAGATAACGAGTATTCTGATCTATTTTACGCGATTCCATGGTCTCAAGGGACCCTGGGTTTGCTTACTTGTGCTGAAATCAAGCTTATACCCATCAAAGAATACATGAAGGTAACATACAAACCTGTACGAGGTAACATAAGTGATCTGGCAAAGGGATACATCGACTCTTTTGCTCCTGAATTTGGAGATACCGATAGCGAAAAAGTTCCAGATTTTGTAGAAACTTTGATCTACAATCCTCATGAAGCTGTTTGCATGACGGGAAAGTACGCCTCCAAGGAAGAAGCGAAGATGAACTGGACCAAAATCAACTACATCGGTTTGTGGTTCAAGCCATGGTTCTACCAACACGCTCAGACAGCACTCAAGAAAGGCGAATTCATTGACTACATACCGATTCGAAAGTATTATCATAGACATACTCGAAGTTATTTCTGGGAATCGAAGCTGATCCTTCCATTTGCTGATCAATTGTGGTTCCGAATCCTCCTTGGTTGGACGATGCCACCAAAAATCCCTCTCCTAAAAGTCGCCCAAACCGAAGCCATGCACAACTATTATCACGACATGCATGTCCTTCAAGATTTGCTTGTCCCTCTTTACAAGGTTTCTGACGCTTTAGAGTGGGCACATAGTGAAATGGAGGTATATCCCATTTGGGTTTGCCCACACAAACTCTACAAGCACCCATATAAGACCATGGTGTATCCTGAGCCAGGGTTTGAGCAACATCGCAGGCAGGGGGACACCACAGACGCCCAGATGTACACAGACATCGGACTCTACTACGCACCAGGATCAGTCTTGAGGGGTGAAGTATTTGATGGGTCTGATGCAGTCCGTCGAATGGAGACCTGGTTAATTGAAAACCATGGGTTCGAGACACAGTATGCTGTTAGTGAACTCAGCGAGAAGGAATTCTGGAGGATGTTTGATGGGGAGCTCTACGAAAAGTGTCGAAGGAAGTATGGAGCTTTGGGGAACTTTATGTCTGTGTACTACAAGAGCAAAAAAGGTAGGAAAACCGAAAAGGAAGTTCAAGAAGCCCTCGAGATTCCGTATGTTGATGTCGGTCAGCTAACGGATTAATCAGTTCAATCGTACCAGTGATCATCTTTCATCCAACTCGTAATTAATACAGTACTGATCCTCTTAAATCAACAGCCGTGGGCTCGTTATATAATAAAGCTGCAATCTTTGGCATGGGAACTTGTTTAGTGTTGATTGTCTTTCGACACGATTGGATTTTTTTTCTTTTGTTCTTGTGTTAATGTTCTTTCACATAAAATGAATCTGGAGACGATATATCATATTCCATAAATATTCATATTTTAAAGGATTGGTCGCTTGTAAATGTAATGAATTGTAAGGTTATATATAAACTTTGTTTACAAAGTTTAATCACTAAAGGAACTCTCTTATTATGTTTTTTTTTAAAAGAAAAAATACTAATAACCATCTAATGTAAGGTATAACCGAGTAGACCAGTGATTTGAACAAAAAAAAATCGATTTAAAGCTTAATACGTGGAAATTACGTATATATTACATCTCATTTAAAGAGTTTGCATAGATATTTTTCGTATCCTCTTTCTTTATTCTTATTAAATTAGGATGCAACTACTTCCACGAAATTGATCGATTTCTTTGAAGGATTTGGCAAGAAATGTAAAGCAATTATGGAAGGAAGGGATGAAGCGGTTTGGGAAGGAGTTGTGTTGTAATTTAATAAGTGTAATGTACGAGGATCAATCTTGTAGTATCCATGTAAACTCTTTTAAACGAGGTGTAACATCCATATAATTTTACGAATCGATTTTTTAATTGTTTTTCTCAGATCACCAATGTAACCGATTATACCCTACATTAGATAGTCATATTGTTATTTTTAACACATTAAGGCTATGTTTGGTGTATTAGCTGAAAAGGTAGGTGTTAGCTGAAAAGCTGAAAAACAAACCGATAGAAATGACGTTTGATAAAACTAGTTGAGATATATAAAATTACATAAAAAGACATTTAAGAGTATTTGTTTCTATAATTAATTAATGGGTATATTTGGAAAATTTAAAAAAAACTCCTAAAAAGCTAGTCTAAGTAGCTTTTCAAAAAGCTAGTTTATAAACTACTTTTTGGCTTGCCAAACACGACAATATAAAAAACTCAAAAAAACAAGCTAGCTTATCAGCTAGCTGTGGCGTGCCAAACACAGCCTAAGAGAGTTCATCACGTATTTAAAAAAAAAAAAAAGCCTTTCGTAACTGAACGTGTATGATGTGCACAGATTATACCTATCTAGTTTTAAATTTATAACCTAACGAACTTAACTAGCTACAATGCACCTAGGCAGTGTATCTAGTCGAACTATATAATACATTAGGTAAGTCAGGTGTCAATCACAGGGAACGGTATTTAATTAATAGAATAACTACTAAAAGCTAAACTAAGAAAAACAACTAAATTGAGGGGTTTTTATCTGATTTTACAAGTTCAAAATTTTTTTTTAATTAAAATAATAAACTAATTACTAAAGTAAACAACTAGAAAGACGATTTTAAATCAAAAATAAATAATACTTTCGTTTAGCTTTGAATCCCTCCTGTTTCCTATGGTTGATTTCAAGACAATTGATTAATTCCGTTAGTTACCAAATAATAGTTACTACTCATCATGGTCAGACTAACTAGCATAAGTCAATTTAACAACTTTAACCCCAATGATCATGCAAGTTAAGGACAATAAATTAATTTTAAAGGTAACTTGAACTCTGAATGATATAATCTACGAACTACTATTCTTTGGTCAAGTCTAGTAATCGAGCAAATATTATGATCAAATACTGCTCTCTAACACAGTTAACCAACTAACTTATCACCTATACTAGGATATGGTCAATCTCTAGCTCTAGCAATTTAATGGTCATAAACAACTAAGTAAATCAAGTTCATGCAACTAACTGGTGTAACATCCATAAAAAATTCATAAAATTTAAACATTTCAAAACAACCATTTTTCTATAGAA